TGTGGAGTTTTTGCGTGAAAATGCATGGGCAAATTCTGGCCTGTACAGGCATGAGAAGTCCGTTGCCTTTCGCGCGCCGCAGCCGAGCGCTGCAACAACCATGGCACCAATGTAGCGCTAGGTAGTGGCCTCTCAGCGATGCGGCACGCTGGGAGCGCCTCAAGTGGCAGCTTGGCTTGCTCAAGCTTGTGAGGATTTGTTTTTTGGCAGGGTTTCGTTCCATTTGTAGCATTTGCTTGGCAACAATTGAACGCATGCTGAAGTAGTGGCTGGGTCTTGAGTTGTGCATCGTTGTTTTCTGCGTGAATTTGCGTTTAGGGTTTAGGGATGTTGCTGACATTTGACCGCGTAATTAACTGAGGTGGCCGCCCTCGCCGTGGAGATTCGGACCTGTCTGCATATGAGGAGTCCAGCTGGAGGCCAAGAGGAGGGCTCTTGCCTGCCTCCACTTGCGGTGTGCCCTCTTGTTCGCGTCCTTGCTTGGCAATGGCTACCGTACGGCTGGTGCGACTGTAAGGTGCAAGCCATGCAACCAAGCGGAGCAGCAGAAGGCAATCGCGAGAGAGGCGGGCTGCACAGTGCTGAGAGGGCAATCGTTATTTCCTGGAAATCAACATCTATTTGCTCAATGTAACAGGCTGTGGGTTCACAGGACTTGCAGTCATGGGTGCAGTCATGCCTTACAGCAAACAAATGCAAATTGACAGATCTTGAGGGCTTGTGCCGACAACTGCTCACCCAATCAGCTAAATCAGTAGCATCATTGGCATCACCAGCATCATTTGGAGATGTAGCACACGCAACGAATGTTGCTGGTGCAGATGTTCCCTTCAGTGTCCAGCCCATATGCAAGACAATTTCGCAGGCGCTCTATTGGCAACTTGTTCCCCCTCACCGGCGCCTTGGCGACAACCGGGCGACAGGGGGCAACCTGTGTGAGGCAAAAGTGTTTGGGACGCACCCCAGGTTAGGAGCCATGATTCCATGATGTTTTCAAGTCGGTTCAGGGAGCGGGCTTGCCACGAAGAACTTGGGGCCCTTGTCTGCCCGTTTGCAGGCGCCGGGACTGCGAAGCACATGCTCCACGTGGCCCAGCGCATCTCCAAGGAAGTGAACCAGTTGTGCCCTTGCATCGTCAGTCGCAACATAATACGGCCTGGAAGGGCCTGAAGATTATGGGCACCAACAGTGGGTTTGACGGTGGACGAGTAGGGGGTCCACAGGGTGCACAGGTGCATTTGGTAAGGGGTTCTCTTCTCAAGTGTTTACTGCCGAGCGAGCATGGGAAACAGGCAGCGGCCGCCAGGTACACAACCCGCGCTGAGCGGGAGCAAGCCGCGGAGTGTCTCATTGGACAAGGGGCGGGCATTCAAATTCTAACAGAGGCTAGTTCGACATCAAGAATTGAAACCACCTGATGGCTGTAAGCTTGAGAGTGTGTAGACATTGTCCAATTCAAGGCACGCTGGTCAATGCAAAGTGCCATTTTAACCACTGCAAAGTGGCTGTAGACATGTGTGTAGAGTATTTGCAAGGAGTCACTGGTATAGCATTGCGTTTGATGGCACTGGGATCTCCTTTCTTTTCGCCTTTGTGCACATTGTTCTCATTATATATATATATATATTTATTTGAGGGCGTTTGTTTCTGGCCGCTACGCATCAGAACGTTTGTATGAGCCTTCGGCCACGTGGCGGGTTGTTGATCGGCTCGTTGATTCGTTGGCAGTTTATCGACCCCCGCCCTCCTCGAACTTTCCCTTGTCCACCCGGCACTGGTCCTCCAAGGCCTGATTCGCAGCTTCGCTCTTTTTCTCAGCTCTTCTCGCCACTCTTGCCGCTTTTTGCTCTTCTCTTTGAGTTTGCTGACTAGTTCAATTCCTGTTTGGCTCGAGTCAAGTCACGCTCTGCCTGGTTCCTAAGTTGTTGTGGGACTTGGGTGCGTATGCTTCATAGTCGACTCTGCTGAATTATCCTCGGTTTTGGCACCGGCACTCACTCTTTAAGACCTGGCCAGGGGGCGTGCCAGCGTCAGAGGCCCGTGACATTTTCAAGCTTCAGGGAGTTATATGCTTCAACTCCATTGTGACTGTCATACTTCCTACCAACATTTTGGTCCAGTGCAGCGGGCAACTCTCACATTTGTTGTGGCACAAAACCCTATTCTAACTTTCATTCTTCCTATCACCCTTTTGGCTCAATAAAAGGGAACCATTTGTTTTTGGGTTCGTGCCACACGTCAGTTTCAGGGCAAGCAATTGTTGGTGGTTTCCAGACTCTTGCGAGGATGCATTTTCCTTGTTGTCGTGCGACGCCCCTTCGCATTGTACAACGTAGTCCCCAACCCCACTTGTATGCTTCCATTGGTACCTTTCATGCTTCCCTCCAACGTTTTGGCTAAATGGAATGGGGAACTCTCACGATTTTTTGTTCGTTACTCGGTTTCGCGGTTTCGCTTGCAGTTTGAGGCTCTCGTATGCGATCTTTGGTGGTTTCCACGTTCTCCAGATGATGCATGTTCCTTGTAAGTTTCTCGACTGAAGATGTTTTTTTGCATTCTTGTTGCATGACATGTTCAAGCTTCAACCCCACACCCAACCGCATTACTCCCATGTATATATGGTAGAGGTCTGGCACCCCCCCCCTCCCCCGCCATGGTCATGGTAGCCTTAAATAGCCCCACCGCTCCCCCTGTGGGCCCGCTGGGTTTGCAGGTTATGGTCATCTTGCAAAAGGCCTCTCCCCCCCTGTGGGCCCGCTGGTGGGTTCCGGTTAGGGCATCTTGCTTTGAGTCGTACCCCGGTGTGCGCTCTCTTTGTGGCCCCGCTGGTTTTGCAGGTTATGGTCATCTTGCAAAAGGCCTCTCCCCCCCTGTGGGCCCGCTGGTGGGTTCCGGTCAGGGCATCTTGCTTCGCCCATTCCATCTTTCATACTTCCTGCCACCATTTGGGAACACTTGCAAGGTTGGTCTTTGTGGGTTTCGCGCCACATTTTAGCCGTACGCGCTCGTAGCGATTAGTGCTGGTCTCCAAAGTCTTGCGGGGATGCATCTTCCCGTTCCTGATTTTCATTTTTTTCAGATTTGCAGTTGTTTGCAGTGTTGTGGTTGGATGCCCCTTGACATTTTCATCCCCAACCCCACTTTTATGCTTCAATTCAATGGGCACTTTTCATGCTTTCCACCAACATCTCGGCCGAATGGTATGTTTCGCGCCACTTTTGAGTTTTAGGATTCTGTGCCGTAACGTGTTGGTTTCCAAATCTTGCCGCTAAGCTTCATCCGCTTTCGCGCCACATTTCAGTTTTGGGGTCGCGTAAGCCATCTCTTACTGGCTTCCAAGTTGTCGATATGGTAGATCTTCCCTTCAAATGTCACGACTTACGAAATTGGCACGCATGTTGTTTTTGTTGCTCCCAATCCCACCCTGCTTCGCTTCCTTTTGTAGCTTGCATACCAGTGTGACGAAAAATATGGGTTGCCGCATTTGGCTCTTCTGTTGGAGCTCTTTGCTTTACACTGACGAGCAAAAACCATCTTTGTTCGCAGGATAAGTTGGCGAGTTGCTGTCCTGCCTTTCGTGTCTCCTTCTGCTCAATTCGATGCACATGTGCATCTACACCTAAGCAAACCTATATATATATATATGTATCTGTTGCTCAGCGGCTGCACACACAAGTCTCTGTGTGAGTATATGCGGTTTTGAGACTGGTGATAGTCTGCCCCCAGCCCCTTTACGAGTATGTACTTGCCGCAACGTGGGTCGTAAGCGCGTGGCGAGGCAGAATCAAGGCGAGCAAGATGAGCAAGGAAGCCACACGGATGACGATGGCCTACCCATGCTCATTGAGCCGTTGGAGGACGCGCAGCCAGCTCATGGCGCGTGCTGTCAATGTTCATTGAGCGATTCCCTGAACGAAAAGCCCTAAATTGCATGATTGCAATTCAGAGCATTCTGGCAACAAGAGTGCTGGGCAGGTGCGTTGGGCTGGGGGCCAATAATTGCCATCAGTCTTTTTTTGTCGACTGTGCGCGCGCCAGTGTTGCCAGCTTGATGTGAGGAGCAAGCATGACCAATAGCCGGATGGCGCGCACAGCCCTGTGGGAAACACTCCAACAGAACAATCCAACGCACTATGTTTGTCCGACTCTTCAAGCCGACCCCTGAAGCGTGAACACCGCCATTGCTTCTTTGGGGCGCATCAAATCAGCGTGCCTCCACCTTGCCAGGAGGGCTCTGAAAAGGCTTGGGGGCTGGGGAGGGGCAACACTTGAGGCTGGCATGGCCCTTTTGCACAGGGCATCACTTCGGTGGCAATTGTGCTGTGAGTTGACGAATCTGTTGGGATGCGCCAGGACTGGTCGCCAGTCAAGAATCCAAAATGCGATCAAGCAAGGTATAGGTGTGTGCAGAAACATGGCACAAGCAAAGAATCGCTTGCACCCACTGACTCTGGCTGAAAGAATGAAAGGATCAAGAAGGGATGATTTCAGAGTGGTGTCAAGCATTTGAAAACCATGGAGTGTAGGGGTATCCCCTGGTTTCTCTACCTATCCCCTCGTGTTGCTTGGGCCAGACCTCCAGTAACAGCAGCTCCGATAGCGAGCAGTCGAAAGCCCTGGAGCTTGCCGCTTGGCAAGAAACAATCATCGGCAAAAGTTGAAGGAAGCTGTCCGTTTGTCCCTTCCTAGAGTGTTGGAACCATTAGATATTATCATCAGCATTTTGGCGTCCTTGTCACACATTTGCGTAAGACAGACATCCTTGCAGGTCCTTGCAAGCAACGTGACATCAAGCGAGATATCCTTGCACGCAACCATGTAGAGTACCTCCATTCTTGGCAGGGAATGGAGAAGCTTGATGGGGTGTCCTTCTGTGGCAGCAGAGAGGCTGTGCGTGCTCAACAGCCTGGCTTTTTCAACAAACATGCGCACAACTCTTCAACATATTGCGTCCGTGCCGCATGTAGGTGTCCGCGTCCTGAGCCCGAGCTCCAGCTGAGGACAGCGAGCTTGAGGACTACGATCATGAGGCGGCCGGGGAGCGCATTGCTTCTATGCTGGAGAAAATGAAGTCTGGGGCCCCGGCTTGGCCCGTGTGCTTGATGCTCCCCCAAAGCTGCGTCGAGCAGAACGGCAGGCCTTAGTGGCCTTAGTGAGACCGAGGTGCCAGGACCGTACCGAGATCATGGAGTCTTGGCAGGGCCAGCCCTGGGGAGGAGGGAGGCTGAGAGGCTCAGTGCTGCTTTGTTTGCACGCCCGTGGCAGATGTCATGCGGAAGAAGGCCATGCTCACACAAGGGAGAGCCAAGCGAGACCCTTGCAATGTTTTGAGCTCGGGGAATGCCAGGGCTCCCTCGCACCATCGGCTGGTCAAAGTCTTCCAGATGCGTTTGTTGCTTGCATTGGTCGATATAAGGAAGGACTGCATGGCTTCTACCAGCTGCACCTGGAGAACGTGGAGACAGCGCTGGAGGAGCTGGAAGTTATCGAAAAGGACTATCACGGCAGGCGGCTGATTGTCACCGATTGACGGCAGCGGGAATTCCTTTTTTCCGAAAGCATCGCGAAGGGTTCTTCCGTGCGGAGCCCTTGGACAAGTTACACAGAGCCAAGTTGCATAGAGCCAAGTTGCACAGAGCCAAGTTGCACAGAGCCAAGTTGCACGCAGCCAAGTTGCACAGAGCCAAGTTACATAGAGCCAAGTTGCACAGAGCCAAGTTACCTAGGGCCAAGTTACATAGAGTCAAGTTACATAGAGCCAAGTTGCACAGAGCCAAGTTACACAGAGCCAAGTTGACATAGAGCCAAGTTACATAGAGCCAAGTTACATAGAGCCAAGTTACATAGAGCCAAGTTACATAGAGCCAAGTTACATAGAGCCAAGTTACATAGAGCATAGAGCCAAGTTACATAGAGCCAAGTTACATAGAGCCAAGTTACATAGAGCCAAGTTACATAGAGCCAAGTTACATAGCCAAGTTACATAGAGCCAAGTTACATAGAGCCAAGTTACATAGAGCCAAGTTACATAGAGCCAAGTTACATAGAAGTTACCCAAGTTACATAGAGCCAAGTTACATAGAGCCAAGTTACATAGAGCCAAGTTACATAGAGCCAAGTTACATAGAGCCAAGTTACATAGAGCCAAGTTACATAGAGCCAAGTTACATAGAGCCAAGTTACATAGAGCACAGAGCCAAGTTACATAGAGCCAAGTTAGAGCCAAGTTACATAGAGCCAAGTTACATAGAGCCAAGTTACATAGAGCCAAGTTACATAGAGCCAAGTTACATAGAGCCAAGTTACATAGAGCCAAGTTACATAGAGCCAAGTTACATAGAGCCAAGTTACATAGAGCCAGGTGGCACAGAGCCAAGGTTAGGTAGAGCTTGCGTAGAGCTTCGGAGTTAGCAGCTAAGGCGCCGGGGCGGGAGTTTGATCGTCGCTCGGGATTGCGGCCCTCTGCGGAGATTCGCGTGGTCGAGGTTAATAAACTGAGGACTTTTTACGATTTTTAGCATGCGCGCGCGACCCTCTGCGGGGATTCGCGTGGTCGAGGTTCAAAAACTGAGGACTTTTTACGATTTCTGCCGGCCGCGCGCGACCCTCTGCGGAGATTCGCGTGGTCGAGGTTCCAAAACTGAGGACTTTTTACGATTTCTGCGGTGCGCGCGCGACCCTCTGCAGAGATTCGCGTGGCCGAGGTTCAAAAACTGAGGACTTTTTACGATTTCTGCGGCGCGGAGATTTGCGTGGTCGAGGTCAAAAAACTGAGGACTTTTTACGATTTTTAGCATGCGCGCGCGACCCGCTGCTGAGATTCGCGTGGTCGAGGTTCAAAAACTGAGGATTTTTTGCGATTTCTGCGGTGCGCGCGCGACCCTCTGCGGAGATCCGCGTGGTTGAGCTTCAAAAACTGAGGACTTTTTACGATTTCTGCGGTGCGCGCGCGACCCTCTGCGGAGATTCGCGTGGTCGAGGTTCAAAAACTGAGGACTTTTACGATTTCTGCGGGGATCGTGCGTGTCGAAGCGTTCTCGCTGTGGCGCCGTGCGACTTTGTTGCTCGCGAAATGGCCTTTGGAAGTTGTCTCGTGGCTCGCGCGCCTGCTTTCGCAATCCCGCGGTCGCGGGTTCGATTCCAGTACGCGGAGCGTGCTCCTGCAGCTCCGGCTGGAAAATCGCAACTTTTAAGTACAGACGTAGTATGCGGAGCGTGCTCCCGCGGCTGGAAAGTCGCAACTTTTAAGTACAACGTAGTACGCGGAGCACGCTCCCGCAGCTCCGGCTGGAAAATCGCAACTTTTAAGTACAAAAATAGTAAGTACATTCCCACAGCTCCGGCAGCACTTGCGCAGAATAACTTGCGCAGAGTCACTGGCGCAGAGCAACTTGCGCTCTGCGAATCGCACAGAGCACTTGCACAAAGCACTTGCGCAGAGCAACTTGCACAGACCAACTTGCACAGAGCACATGCGCAAAGCGCTCGCACGGAGCAACTGGCGCAGAGCACGTGCGCAGAGCAACTTGCTCAGAGCACTTGCGCAGAGCAACCTGCACAGAGCACTTGCGTGCCCGAAAGCAGCCTGGAACAATGCAGCTTGCGCAGACCACTTTCGTGAGAAATCGTGTAGCACTGAGCAGACTTGCAGCAGAGCCACGCTTCACAGAGCCAAGTTGCGCAGAGCCACTCGCGTAAAGTAGCTTGCGCGCGCCAGGTAGCAGCGCTCCAAGTTGCGCAGAGCCATCTTGCGCAGAGCTAAGTTACACGAGCCTGCTTTGCAGAAACATACGCTTTCACGACATAGCGCTTTTTGTGTCTGACTCGGGCAGGAGCCGGTTGCTATTGGCTTGTTTCTTTTTGTTTCGTGGGCAGCGCCGTCCTGCAGGGTTAAGTCAAATTTACCTGCGGTGTTTGCAAAGAGTGTCTGGTACATTTCCACACGCAGCATTGAAGCAAGACTTCTCAGCAACAGCCTTTGCGCCCGGCAGCTGTTCCGATAGTTTTTGGAGCACTGCGTGCACACTTGAGTTGAGGATCCGCATGAGTTGAGGCTCGGTTTACCTTGAGACATGCTTTCGCTTTTGCGCCGTCGGCGCAGTCGCGCCTGTAGCATTAGAGCAAGACTAGCCAGCAGCACCTACATTTTCTACAGCTCGCCAGATCGAAGCCACCGCATCGAGCGTGTTGGGCATCGGTATAGTGTAGTAAACCGCCGCATCGAGTGTATTGCTTGCATGGCGCACGGCGATGGTGACGCGCTGCAGCGGCTGTCCAAGGAGCAGGCAGGGCCCAGACAGGAGCAAGACACAGAGGCACAGGATGCACGTCGCTTCACCTGCTTCGTGTTGTCGTGCTTCAGCCATGCATGTGGAGTTTTGCGGGTTAGCAAGTGAACGCACGAGTGAATGCACGACCAGCGAAGCTTCGGTATTCGATAACATTAGCTATAGGCCAGTCTTGGGGCCTAGAGCAGTTCGATAACATTGTGTATTTAATGATTAGCCAATTTTGGGGCATCTTTGGTGTAGTTATGGCTCAGGATGCTGTTGCCACCGAGTCGCAGCAGCTACTGGATACTCTGCGAGAAGGCTATGCCGCGCGGGGAGCTGGCTGGCTGCGCGAGGAGCTGGCCAAGCAGACCGCCGTGCAGCTGCGACAGCTTGCTGGCACCGCGGGCGTGCAGCAACGTGAAGCTGGACGCAACATGTCCAAAGCGGAGCTGCTAGAGAAGGTGGCGCAGCATATTTCCGAGAAGCAGGCGCGATGAGGGAACGACGCCGCGTTGCTCAGTTGGGCTGCTGTTGCTGCGCAGACTTCCTGTGGCGTTGTCGCGTTGAAGCCGATGTCCATGTGGTTTCCACAGCATAGGTCAGTCCCGGGGCATAAAACAATTCGATCGCATTGGCTATGATAGGCCAGTGCTGGGGCATCTGTTGTGTAGTTGTGATTCGCATCTTTTGTGTAGTTATGGCTCAGGATGCTGTGGCCATTGAGTCGCAGCAGCCACTGGATACTCTGCGAGAAGGCTATACCGCGCGGGGAGCTGGCTGGCTGCGCGAGGAGCTGGCCAAGCAGACCGCCGTGCAGCTGCGACAGCTTGCTGGCACCGCGGGCGTGCAGCAACGTGAAGCTGGACGCAACATGTCCAAAGCGGAGCTGCTGGAGAAGGTGGCGCAGCAGATTTCCGAGAAGCAGGCGCGATGAGGGAACGACGCCGCGTTGCTCAGTTGGGCTGCTGTTGCTGCGCAGACCTCGTGTGGCGTTGTTCCGTTGAAGCCGATGTCCATGCGGCTGCTGCAAGCGCGCCCCTCATTGCCCCAGCTGGGATGAGAAGTGCGAGCAGCGCCTTGGCCTCGACAAAGAGCTCGAGTATCTCTTCCTGTTCGCTGCCTACGATCGCTGCGTGGCGTGCATGGAGCACTCTCTCGAAGAAGGTGTGTCCCCCACATGCGAGTCCATCATGAGCGCGCGCGACTGGGCGGCATCGACCCTGAGGCCTGGGCAGTTTCCACCTGCCTTGCGTCAGCTGCTGCGCAAGCACGGAATCCGGAGGAAGCACGGATGAGGCGAGGCTTCCACCCTCCTGCGCAGACGCCGTCTTGCGAACGCGCGGCAGGGTAGTGTAGACGAGCTCTTGAGACACACATGCCTGCAGAGAAAAAAGGCGCAGCGTGGCTCGCGTGCTGCGGCCTTCTTGCGTCGTGCGCGTGTTGACTTGGCTGATTCGAAGAAGCTCGGGCTCTGCGCTAGGCCGGCCAGCTTTTGCATTGCTGCGGAGTGGACGCTGTCTTGCGAAAGCTCCGCGCGTCGCTGAGCTATGTCGGGCCTGTCGGCGTGGCTCGCCAGCGCCCAGCTGCAAAGTGATGAGTGGAAGCAGAAGCTGCCTTTGTCTCGCGCGACCAAAGGCAAGGCGACTCTTGCCTTCGCTATGCCTGGCCGGACTGACCCTTTCGTTGTGGAGGATGTCTACCGCAGGCTCGGCAGCGGCGCCTTCAAGATCGCGTATGGCCTCGACAACTTTCCGCTGGTCTTGAAGGTGATCCCGAACACAGGAATGAACAAGCACGGCTGGATGACATCCAACGACCCGTTGCAGGAGCTGAGGCAGGCAACATCTGCGCGCGCCGTGCCGCAGCTGGCGCCGCACATGCCCAAGTACCACGGGGGGCTGTACCTGCGCGGAGACCAAGACTATGGACCGAGTCCTTTGCTTTGATCGGCAAGTTTTTCCAGTGGGAATTTTGCCTGTGGGACGCGAAGGCCGACAACTTTGGCCTGGACCAGGACGGCGAGAACCTGTCGTTCCTTGACGTGGCGGCCGTCGAGGAACGAGGCAAGAGCCCCAACCATGAGGTGGGACAACTTCTTAGCAAGATCCTCGTGGTCTTCTGCAAGCATACCGTCGAGTTGCTCAAGACTGCGCACCAGTCGTGCCGAGAATGGCTCCTGCCGCTCATGCAAGCCCTGCCCGTAGAGTACGTTGGCCAGGGCAGCCGCTGGCGAGGGATCGAGCTCTACTGGTCCGAC